TCCCGTGTGTCCCCGCCTCCCGCCGTGACGGAAGGGTCGCTCTGCGCAGGCGCCCGCCGGAGAAGCTCCGGCGCTCACGCGGCCCAGAGCCCCCGCCTGGGATCCGGCCCCGGACGGCGGCGCTGCCCCGCGGTGGTGGGCGAGAGGCTGCCTGCAGGGAATGATCACGGGAGAAATTGCCATCTCTGCGAAAAAGTACTCAAGGAGCGCGGGAGAGCTCGGCGTCCGGTGAGTGAGTATGAGTCGAGATCATCCGGGCCTTGTTTTTGAGGGCCTCCGTGTAACAGCTGGCGGTTTACTCTGGGAAGAAACTGGTGACGACGGCACCTTCCTTCCCTTTCCACCAGATCTGGATCACTAGATTCAAAGGCGTTTAAATTCGCGGGACTCCCCCTTGTCAAGGAATCAAGCATTTGCGAGCCAGGCCAGGTGTTTCTAAAAGTTAGTGGTGGTTGTGGGAAGAGATGCCGGCGGAATGTGGGAGTTGGGAGGCACCTGTTGGGTAGGGAAAGGCCTAAACGCGGCCTTTGACTTTATGCTTCTTTTACTTGAAATCTTTACGAGAAGCATGCATTTCGTTTGCATTTAAAAAGTTTCAGAAAATACATACTAATTATATATATATGTATATGTGTATATATATATATATTTCCCCCCCCAACCAGGAAATACTTCCGTTGAGGGGGTGCCACCAAGACTCATCCCACAGCTCTGCAGTCACCCCTTGCCGAGTGGGGAGGACACCTCCGGCCGCCGCGGCGGAAGTGGGACTCCCGGGGGACGCCGGCCCGCCGCCCAGGCCGCCTCCACCATGTCCAAGGTTTCCTTTAAGATCACGCTGACGTCTGACCCGCGGCTGCCGTACAAAGTCCTCAGCGTTCCCGAAAGTACACCTTTCACAGCAGTCTTAAAGTTTGCAGCAGAAGAATTTAAAGTTCCTGCAGCCACAAGTGCTATTATTACCAATGATGGAATAGGAATAAATCCTGCACAGACTGCTGGAAATGTTTTTCTAAAGCATGGTTCAGAACTACGAATTATTCCTAGAGATCGTGTTGGAAGCTGTTAATATCCTCTACTTAAAGATAAAGTTGTGAATACCCTCTGCTTTCAAAGTAAATATTGGTATTGCTGTTGTAAAACTGAAATCGGGCATTTAAAATATTATGATATACCAACAGTTGATGAAATAGTGAAAGGTGACTCCGTGTCCCTCCTTGTTATGCTTATGCATTGAGGGTACCAGTGTTACAGAAGATCTTAGTCTTTCATTGCTACCCCACAGCACACACAGCTAGTTAGTTCATCTGGGGTAAATGGTTTATCCAACTGTGTTTTATTACTGAAGGATGCTTCTGATCATTCTTTCTGAGAACATTTGGAAGATTAAATTTACTGAATCTATCTATTTGTCTCTAAGTTAAAATTTTGAAAGGATTATGGATCATACTTGGCAGGTTACCGGACAGGATTTGACTTGCCAACTTAAAAAGAGTTGAATTCTTAATTATATACTGTTTATGATAAAGGATATAAACATGTCAATGAAAACTGTCTTAACTTTGTACGTTTAGGTATTTTTAAAGTTCAAGCTTCATGTGTTCATATAAACTTTAATATTAGAAAGCCAAAAATTGGATTTATGTAGCCCCTATGTGTAAAATTGATATCCCTCATCAAAGAGTTTTAGCTATGTTCTTGCAGAATCCAGTACTTGTAATGGTAAGAATTGAAAATAAAGTAGAATCATCCTTTGCTGAATGAATGAATGAATAAATAAATAAATAAAGTCATCTATTAAGTCATTTGGCCCAAAAACTCTCTACTCCCCCTCCTACCTTTCACACAGTGCCCCACCCCTCAGCCCCATACCCTACTTGCCCTCATAGCCTGGGCTCCTCCCTCTTCTACCAGAAAGCCTGTAAAGCTGTCATCTTCGCTGGTGTTCCCTTACCCCCCAGGGTTCATGAAGCCTTTCCAAGACTAGTTTTAAGGGAATTCATTTCCAGATCTTCCTCAGCTATCTGTACTATTTTCTGAAATTTCTCAGCTTCAAAAAGTGCCTGAAGACATAGCATCCCCTTTCAAAACTATCTCCCACCTTAGAAAAAAGTCAAAAGCCTCACCTATTACTAAGGTGCACTAACCCAACATGTAAAGATCTCCAGGGTAGTTCAAAGGCACAATTGAGGAATTGGTGTCTGTGCTGAGAAAGTAAACTACCTCAATTAAAGGGTCATAAATTCTTTTGTAAGTCAGGCGGTTTCCACTTCTTTGTTATCAACAAAATTGAAGGAAGATCTAACTAAGTGATCTGATAATAGATCAACAAGTGATTCTTAGACAATACACCTCAGTTGGGGTTAAAAGAATTGAATAACATTGCTGTAATTAAACTTCTTCCATTCCCATCTGTATTAGTTAATCTTGCTGTACAGCAGTATTACCACAGCAGCTTAAAACAACAACAATTTATTGGCTCACAGTTTCTATGAGCCAGGAGTCCACACATGGCTTAGCTGGGTCCTCTGCAAGATCACAAAGTGACGTTTTACTGGGAAAGGATCTGCTTCCCAGCTCACCTGGTTTTGGCAGCATTCAGTTCCCTGCAGGCTGCAGAACTTAAATGCCTTAGTCTCTAGCTGGCTTCTGGCTCCCTCAGTTCTGTGACTTGAGACCCTCTCTGTAGGGAAGTTTACAATATGGCAGCTGGCATCTTCAAAGCCAACAAGGGGGAAAGTATCAATGTAAGACATTAGTTACAACCTTAGGTAGCATAATCACATACAGGAAATCACATATATCCTGACATGTTTGCCATACTCTGACATTGGCCAGAAGCAAGTCACAAGTCCCATTTCCACTCAAGGAAGACTACACAAGGGCATGAACACCAGGAGGTGGGGATCATACGGGGCCACATTAGACTCCACCACACATGTTTATTTATGCGAATGACAATCCCTATCAGCTTAACCTCAGAATTTTTCTTCAGGTTCCCTTCACCTTCTTGCTAAAGGAAACCTGACTTACCCCTGGGATACTGCTTCCTCTTCTCCCTCTCAAGTAGTGGCAACTGTATTTTCAACCATAAGCACCTTAGCCTATGCCTGGAGGTGAGGTAGGTGTCCTCCTTGCTCCTCAACATTGCTTCCAGACCATCGCCTCTCTCCCCTCTATTAACCTGCAGCTTTAAATCTGTTATCCAGTACTGCCCATCTTATTCTCACTCCACTTCATTTTTTCGCCACTTTCTGTCAGTCACTCCAGCGCCACTTCTGCCTTAATCCTAGGTGGTTAAAATACATACTTAGATGGTTTTCTCATTACCCTGATCTCTCAGTTCCTTGACTTCTCCTCCAAGGATCTTGTCCTACCCTAACTCAACCACTTGCTCCCATGGGCATAATCACAGGAACCTTATCAAGCTCTGCAACTTCATAATCACAATTTCAAACNATGGGCATAATCACAGGAACCTTATCAAGCTCTGCAACTTCATAATCACAGTTTCAAACATGTCACACTCTGAACACCACCTCATATTTCCATATTTTCCTGTAGCACTCTAACTCCAACAATTCTTTAACCCACAGCGCCACTTTCTCCCATCCTTCCCATGGCCAGTTATTACAATCACTCCTTTGCACATACTTGCAACCCCCTTACTCTCCTCCCTCTTTGTCCTGCTTGCTAGACCAAGTCCTGATTCAAGCCAGCTCTCCACCTACGCCACCCCAGCACCCATGCACCTGAATGTGACTACAGAAAAACTCAATCATACTGACTAGTTTCACTTTCATTTCATCACTTGGAACCTCCAGTGGGCCCTTAGTGCTGCCCATGAGTCCTACTTCCCTCCATTCTTCTGGATTTCATACCTCTTCTGTCCTCTAATCTATACCTCTTTCCCCCCATTCCTCATTCTCAGTCAGTAACCTTGCTTCCTATTTCATTGAGAAAATTGAAGCAATGGGATGAAAACTTCCACAGTATCCCACCACCTCATCTACCCATAGCCACAGACCACCACCTATAACCTTTTCTTCACCTTTCCCACCAGTACAGGGCAAATTTTCCATACTCCCAGCTAAAGCCAATCCCTCTGCTAAGGCAACAGATCCCAGTCTTGCCTGGCCTAATCAAAATCATCACCTTCACTCCAGCAATCATACCCTCTCTTCTATTATCAATGTTTCCCTCTCTACTGGGTCACTCCCATGAGCTTACAAGTAGCTGCTATTTCTCCAGACTTACAACATCTTCTCTTTGACCCACTTCCACTGTCAGCTACTGCCCCATTTCTCTGCTTCCTTTGCAACAAAACTTCTAAAAGAGTTTTCTATACTCTCTACTTCCCCCATTCTGTAGCAGCAGAATACATACCATATGATACATTTATATAAAGTTTATAAACATGCCAAATACAGTAAGACTACAAACACATATAATCAAATCATAACAACACACAAGGTTTACATGTGGCATATTTTAGGTTTTCAGCTGAGAGGTTCTCCTACCCTGTCTTAAACCCATTCCATTTATGCTTTCATCCTTAGCACTCCATCAAAACGACTCTTGTCAAGGTCAACAATAAACTTCACATTGCCTAAATGCAATGATTTAATCTCAATTTTTCTCTTAATTGACCTGTCTATGACAGCTGACATAGCTAATCACTTGAGTCACCTTTCTTAATTTTAACTGACCCCTCTTAGTCTTTTTCCTTTGTCACTGGTCCCTCCCTTCCTGTCTCCTTTCTTGTTAATTCCATCTCTTCTTCCACCTCTTAACATTATAATGTCCCAGGGCTCATTCCTTGGATTTCTTCTCTTTTCTATCTATACTAATTTCATTGGTGATCTCAGAGTCTCCTGAGTTTCAATCATATCATATACGATGACAACTCCCTAATTTATATCTTCAGCTCACACCTTTCCTCTGAACTCCAGATTTGATACCCAGCAGTCTTCTGCACATCTCAAACATAACATGCCACAAACTGAACAATATCCTTCCTCAAACCTGTTCAACCCACCAACTTTCCTATCTCAGTTGATTGGAAGTCCATTCTTCAAGTTGCTCAACCCCAAACCCTGGAGTCATGCTGGACTTCCCTCTTTCTTTTACATCTCCTGTCTAGTCCAGAGTTAGAGTATCCCTCACCACCTCTACTGCCACCCCAGCTCTGAGCCACCATCTTCTCATGCTTGGATGAGTCTTCTAAAAGCTCTCCTGGCTCTCAATCTTGCTCCTTAGAGCCTATTTTCAACATAACAGCCAGAGTGACCTTCATAAAACATGTCAGATTGAGCCCTAACCGGTTTGGCTCAGTGGTTAGAGAGTCGGCCAGCAGGCTGAAGGTCTCAGGTTTGATTCTGGCCAAGGGCATGTACCTTGGTCGCAGGCTTGATCCCCAGCCCCAGGTTCAGGTGCATTGGAGAGGCAACCAATCAATGTGTCTCTAACACCTATGGTTCTCTCTCTCTTCCCTCCACTCTCTCTGAAAAGCAATGGAAAAAATATCCTCGGGAGAGGATTTAAAGTAAAATAAAATATAAAAAACATGCCAGATTGAAACAGGTTAGTAAACCTGGACATGTGGAATAGGGAAACTGAGACAGATAGTTAAAAGGCCAAGCAGTTTATAGTCATCTAGTAAATAGCAAAATCTTACCTTTTCTAACCAAGGACACTTAAGAGTAAATGTTTTATACTTTTCCTCCCCAGCCAGAGGATAAATAGCTTAAATCACCCTACTCAGGGAGAATATTCTATTGAGATCCTCCCTTAAGAACCTCCCCTAAAATTCCCACCTTAGAAAACAGATAAGAACCTTCAAGACAAAGACCCAGAGCAGGCTCTCTCTGGAGCACACCAGGCCCTTCTTCCCTCTCAGGTGTGCATCTTTACTTTTCTCTCCTAACCTCTAAGGGTCCCCACAAGACTTGAACCAGGGGAGCAGTGGACAGTGGCAGCTTGTCTTGGGATAACTCCCTGAACCTGTCTCCAAGGCTCCCTTTCCTCTGACTTCTCAGTGAGCTAACAGCAGCCCTGCCTTGTCTCCCTTCTGTCACTGTGACTTTAACTTCTCAGTGAATTCATGCAACCCAGCATGGTTCACTTTTGTCCTATAACATTTCTAGAGAGCTAAAGCAGAACACTGCCCAGGCTCTCTCCTGTTGCTTCCTCTACCTTAAGCCCTTCCTTTGTTTCACTGTCCCCAGCTTTAATAAACATGCTCTCAAAATCAACTGAACTCTTATAGTGACATCTTTCCTGCATGAAGTCAAGAACCCATTCGCTACCAGCTGGCCCTAGGCAGATCCACTCCAGGCTTGGTCCCTTTCTGATGACCAGATCTTGTCACTCCTCCACTTAAGTTCCTGCCATGGCTCCTCATTTCACTTAGCACAGGGGTGGGGAATGTCTGGCCCATGAAATCTTTTGGTCTGGCCTTGCCAAGGCAACTGCAGGTGGAACTTGAAATTCAATAAATCTAGGAGCTTTTTTCATAGCTAATTTTTAAGTTGACAATTTTGTATGGCCCTCGAATGATGTTATAAATATCCAAATGGCCCTTGGCAGGAAAAAGTTTCCCCACCTCTGACTTGGAGTAAAAGTCTATGCCTTAACAATAGTCTATGGGGTCCTTCAAGGTCTGCAGCCCACCCCCATCATTAGTTCTCTAATCTTCATCTCCTGTTACTCTCCTCCTGGATGATTCTGCTGCAGACTTACTGACCTTTGTTATTCTTAGAAGATATCAGCCACGATCTCAAGTTAGGGCCTT